GGGGGGTGGTTCTGTACATCCTGAAGCATGCCCACAAGAGCTGAGCAGTAGGCCTGACCGCACAGAGCCCATGCTGGCACCGCTTATTTACATTAACCAATGTCGAAACTTCTCCCGTACGTAGAGTTAGGTGCTACCAAGAACCCTAGAGGAAGTTAAGATGCTTTATCTTTCGCCTGCACACAAGTTTACTCTTCAGAGAGCCTGGGTGGGTGTGACTCCCGGGAGCTAATCGGCTAGTCCAGTCATATGCAAATCTGGACCCGAGTTTAGGTGCAGGTGCAGACACAAAACGAGGGTGACACTGTTGGCTGCTGAGGTGCGTGGAAACGCACTTGCCACGTCGTCAGCCAGGCTGTCTCTGTAAGTGTGGACGGTGTGACAGTGAGCACCCAATTTGGATCGCCCCGTCTAAATGAGGGGTGTCCGGGTAGTAAAAATGCCATCTGTGGCCGGGCGTTTGCAGCAATGTCCTCAAGCTGGTGCGCCCCCGGCCATCTCAAGAGGATCAGTCCAGCGCTTGTAGGAGCGGATCTCTGGGGGCTTCGCCACGCTCCCAGCTCCCTAGCTCCGCCCCCAGCTCCCTAGCTCCGCCCCCAGCTCTGCGGGCCCCNTCCTGACAGGCCCCGCCTCCAACGCCTGGAGCTCCGGGCCGCACTGCCGCCCCAGTTCCGTAAACACTTCTCTCCCCGCCCCTAGGAGCTCCCGGACTGTACCACTCCCAGGACGCGGGGGGAGACGTTCCCTCTCGCATCAAGTACACCTTCAATCCAAGCTCTCCTCAGGTTCTTTCATCCGAACATGCAGAAACATGATCTGTAGTAGGTGAAATCTGTCAGGACTCTGCTAGCGGAGCCTGGAATGCCCTGGATTCCACGCTCCCCCGTGCTGTCTGTCCCCCACTCGCCGGTTACGTGATAGTCACGCCGTGGCTGCCTCGTTAGAGTCCCTCCTGGCCCTTTAAATACCGCGTGGGGTGCGGGGGACTCGGAGGCTGGGGGTGGTTGGACTCCTGAGTTTTCCAAGTGCTTGTGCCACGCTGGGTGAGGGGGCACCCAGAGACCCTCGACCCGGGTTCACTCAGTCGCCTTCTCCTCCGCCTGTCTCCGCGCGCGGCCGGTGCGTATCCATCCCGGGGGAGGGGTCGCCGGCTCTGAGGTGACCGGCCCAGGCCGGTGGAGGGGGACAGGTTGGCATGGGGCAGCCCGGGGCCTCCCCGCCCCACCTCAGAACTCAGTCCTGGGACGCCGAGGCCGGGGCGATAAAGCCCACCCTCCCCCCAGTCCACTTGTTTGACCTCGAACCGCCATCCCGCGTGGGAGCTGGGCGCGGGCACCGAGTAACCACGACGGGTGTCCGGGTGGTCGCGGGCGTCGGCCCCGGAGGCGGCCGCGTCGCTGCAGCTGGGCCGGTGTTTACATCTCGCTGGGCGGGAGCCAGCGACCTCTCTGCGAGCCGCTTCCCACCATCTGGGCTCCGGGAAGGGACACCCTCTCGCCCGCGACCCCCGGCCCGGCCGAAGTGAGCGAACCGAGCCGTGGTGAGCGCCCGGCGGGGCCCGAAGCGTCTGTTTGGGGTTTGTTGCCGGGGTTTCCCTGGCTCTCGGCTGGCCCTCCGCCGTCCCCTCCCCCAAGGGTTTGTTTTGACAGGAAACGTGCTGCTGGAGCGGAGAGGCTGCTGGAGGACGCGCGTTGTGAGTGTATGTGTGGGGGATGGGGGGACGGGGCGGCGAGTCCGTGCCGGCTCAGGTGACCCCCGGTAGGGGAAAGCGGCGGGAGGTGCCATTCAGGCCCGGGGTGCAACCCCTGGCCTCTCAGGAATGGCTTATGCTTCCCAGAGCTGCTCCTCTCGGTGGCACCTCTGGGGTTGACAGCGGTGATTTGAGGTGGCAGATGGACGAACGTGGTGGTGTGTTTTCTTTAATATTAGGGAAAAAAATTTGTTCTATTAAAGGAGCGATTTCACAAACGATAGGAGCGATTTCACAATGATACAAAGTTTCCTTTTAAATGAAATGTATTTCAATGCACAAATCTGGTGAAGATAAAGAGAAGTGGTTGATAAATCAGCGTGTGGTGGGGATGGCAACGTGGAAACAGGTGTGAAGAGGGGAACTCGGATGACTGGCGTTTGGGAAGCACTGCCTTGGATGGCTGTCCCGGTACTTTTGCTTTGAAGAAACCAGACAAATTTTCCTTGCCCCCGGTGGGCCCACCAGCCCGCTAGATCCCGGTGGTTTCGTGATCTCCAGCCCAGAGACCTTGCTCTTTGCTACCTGCCAACCGTAATGAGGTTATGGCAGTGTTTCCCACTTCAGGGGGCTCCCTGCCTGTCTTTTCCTCTTGCCTGCAGGGGTTTCATACATCACCCTGGCAGCCCTCAGAGGCGGCCTGACTTGAAGTGGCCCAGGGCTAAAGATACCCGGTCATGTGTGGAAGCAGCTTCAGTGCCATCGTGTGGGGGGTTGAGGGCCCCAGAGGGCACGGGTACTAAAGCAGGGCAGCCAGAGGTGGGAGGAGCGTGTTTTCAAGGATGAAAAGTGCCTAGAAATCCTCCTCCCTGATGCTGTCATGTTATGTGCAGTCGAACATCTGCTGTTCTAGACAATGACTGGCCTGTTGGCTTTTATCTAGTTCTTTGCTGGCTCTAATTTGATGAAGACCAGTATTCTCTCGCTGAATAGAGCAGGCACCTATCTCTCTGCTCTGTGGTTTCTGCTTTGCTGAGGATGAATAACTTTTTAGCTCTGCTCTTTGGGACTGGTTCTAAAAGCAGCATTTTGCAGAAGATGGAAAATTTTCCACACCAACTGCAGTTTTTCTTCAGCACCCAACCTTACTCCTCTGACTCCTTGCCCTTTACTACACACATGTGAATGCTTGTCCTGGCACCTGACCTTGATTGGGTCTTCAAAGATGATGCCCACTAGATGTTTCTTGAAATTTCTCTTTTCTCTGACAACCTTAACTGGATGGGTTCCTTTCCTCAGGGCCCTACTGGATAATCCGAACAATGCACTTCAAAATCTTTTTGACTTATACTAGTTTTAAGCAGTTAATCCTTTTGATATTTGAATTTTAACTAGGGATTTTGTAGTGCTTAAAGAATAGCTTCCTGATAGAGGATTTTCGGTCAGCCTAGTGGGGTGGTTGAGAGTTGTTCTGGACAATAGACTGTTTCAGTGGTGCCCTTCACGGTATAGCACTTGAGCCGCCACCCTGGGGTAAGGTCAGCTTGCTACCACATGTGCACATGTTCACGTGGTGATAGGTACATCGATTTGGCAGAGTGGGAGTGGAAAGAATGAGCAGCACACTGTATTTTCTCCAGCCATCCTAGAGTGGTAGAAAGCATGGTCTTTAGGGATCCTCTACCTGGATTTGAGTTGTGTTGCTGCTGCTGTGAATCCTTGGGCAGGTAATTTAGCCTCTCTGAGCCTCTTGCATATAAAATGGGATAATAGCAGTACCGTAGTTAGCAAGGTTATAGTGAAGATTCAAGAAGATAAAACATTTCAAGCACTTTTCATGGGATCTGGGTCAAAACAAGCATCTAATAACCATTAGCCTTAATTATTATTATTTGCTATCAGTGAGCATTGAGAGGGTAGAAAAACACAATGTAACTGTGTCTTTGCTAGTCTGAATTATTGGTGCCTTAGGAATGTGTTGAATTTCTAAGGCACTGGGAATTAGAGTGGAGACATAGCTCCTTCCTGAAAGCTGCTTAAAATTTAGTGGGGAGACAGTTATGCAGAAACAACAATGTACTTTAAGTGACCGCATAATGAGGATGTAAGTAATGTGAATGAAGCAGAAGAGAAGGAAAGCCCAAGGCGTCTTATGAATAGGAGCGTGGCTCAGTTTGTTCTTCAGTGATACTCACGGAGCTCTCGCTCTATCCCAGGAAGAGTTCTAAGCTCTGGATGGCTAAATTAGATGGACTGATTGGGGATATCAGGGAAAGTGACTTTGAAGTAGTAACACTTAATTTCAACTCTGAATGACAACAAGGAGCCAGTCCTGTGATCAGGGAGAAGAAGCATCCCAGGAACAGAGAAAAGCAGGTGCAAGTGCTCTAAAGTAGGAAGCTTGGCTTTGGCTTGTCTGAGGAATCAAGAGAAGGTCTGGAGCAGGAAGGGTTGGCAGGAGAGTGGTACAGGAGGAAGTGGGCAGAGGCCAGATCACAGGAGTGTAAGCCACTGCCTGGAGACTTCTTAGGGAGAGGGAAACCACATGGCAAAGGACTCTTAAAAAGGATGATTTCTTTTTCCTCTTGGTAAGGACTCCGGCCTGCTTCCTGTGTTATTCTCTAGGTGCTGTTCAAGAAGGACACTGGGACAGTTTCACTGTGTAGGAGAATGTGAGAGTGGCATCTGAGCTATCATGGGCGGGAACCATCAAAACTGAAAAACTGCAGGAGGATTGGACTATTTCGAGTTAGGCTTGAAGTCTCATTTAGTACTTTTGTCTTTTAACCTTTTGCTCAGAAATAATTTCAAACTTATAGAAAAAGTTGCAGGAACAGTACAAAGAATTCCCTATTGTCTACCTTTCACTTATATTCACCTATTAACATTTTGTTCCATATGCTCTATTGTTTTCTCTTTCATTTGAGTAGTTTGAGAGAAAGTTGCATACATCTTAGCCCTTTATTTCTAAATACATAATCACAATGCACTTATCGACTTTAGTAAATTTAATGTTGTAATACAGAGGTAGATTCAAATATTGTAACAATGTTCTCAACTGACCTAGTAA